GCATGCAGGTACGTGCCTGAGTAGCTGATACTCACCATCTGCAGCATATAAAAGCTGACGCTGAACATGTTGGACTTGGACATGCCATCGCAGGAGGCAAAGTTCATTCAAATTGTCTATTGGTACGGGCTTGTGCTGATTGGATGACATCGAGGCAATAGCCTAGAGGCCCAGTTGTTGCCATTCACAAGCCTATCTTCATCACCCAACGAAGCCTATTGTAGGCATCCATGCTTGCCGTTTGATGACATGTGCACTCATGTCACTCAAGCAGTAGCGCATACCATACAGAACACCAGACATTGCACCTGCCAACTTGTCTGTCAGCCTGGCACTTCCACTAAACAACTAAATGCCCATTTCACATGACTGCCCAGCTAGTGTCTGCCACTCCTTCTTCACCTCTTTGCCAGTGCTGCACAGACTCCCATACCTGCTGTGACTGCACAATTGCTTCATCACATCACAGCGACAATGAACAGCTGTATGGCTGCACTAGTGCATCACGCTAAGAGTAATTAGTGATGGGGCCCATCTTCACCCCCAGAACACTTACTTTGCTTGTACCATATCACTTGCTCATTGTTGCAGGACAGAGCTGAGGATGAGAGAGAGAGGGTAAAGTGCAACAACGTGGCAATAAACCAATAGTGCCATTAGTTTAGGACCAGTGTTGGCAGACTTCAAGAGTTATGCATCACTCCAAGTGCCCATGCAAAGTAGTATTGGTCATTCTTGTGCTAAGCTTTTTGAATGGCTATAGTCAGTTACAGGAATCATTATACTACTAAAAAATGAATCACTGCAGCAATAATGGAAATAGAAGTTGAGCCCCTGCTCTGAGGCTATTACCGCAACTTTTTGTGCTATGTAGTGGGCAGCTCTGTGTGCCGCTAGCTTTGGACACTTTGATAGTGAAGTCCTCACTACAGTGCCAAACAGCGTTTTCCTGATGTGTCTCAAATGCCAGTGCAGGTTTGATCACATGGTTAGCCAAGTAATAAAGTAGGTATGAGCTTCACACCAATCTGTAAAAAGTAACTATGCAGCCATCTGCTCTTCAGAATGTTCATAAGTCATTCTGGGCAGGACACTGTGAGAGAGGAAAGGGTACAGTAGCCCAGAAACTGACTTATGAGATAAGAATAGATATGACTTAACTGTGCCAGTACTGTCCTCATGCATTGCAACTTGCACCTCTTCCAGGACAGTTTCTAGCTTGGCAGAGTCAAGCTTGAAGTCAGTGAATTGTTGACTGATAGTGTCCTCAGCACATAAACAATATGCCACTCAGAAGTGGCCTGAAGTCCATTTTTTCCAGCCGGCGCCCCAGCAAGAAAGAGAGTTCTTCATTGTCTCATAATTGAGACAGTTGATATTAGATCAGTAGAGCAAGGCAGCTTTACATTTGTATGGATGCATAACCACCTTTGACTGTCAAAGCTTCCATCTGCTTTGTTCTTGAATCTGGATGCTGTGAGGGGAGATCCAGATGTTTCCAAGACAACCAATAGCATGACAATCCTGCTCAATAGAACATGAGCTGATAAAAAGCAGCCACCACTGTGTGAAATATGTGCTCTTGGATGAGTTCTTTGCAGACTCTTTGATCTTCTCGGAATCTCACATACTTCATGGAAATCTTTGCCATTAGGATTGTGACTAAGATTCTCATTGGAAAATTTTTATGAGCTCTTCAAAGATCAGGTTAACAATGCTAGCACCCAATATGCATGGGTAGAAGAACTCAGGTCCTTTTGCATTATCAAACTCTTCGCAAGATTATTAGCACATTATATACCCAGATGAAGCAGCCATTGACTTCTCTCACCTGACTGACCATCTTTGCATTGTTTCACATTGCCGCAAGTGTTTTAATGTCTACCACCCTGATATGTAATTTGAAAGAAGTTTTGGGTGCCATAAACTGTACACATACCTTCTTCATACCTATAATATGACTCTAGCTTGATTGGGATGTGGGCTGGTAAAACTTAAACTGATGTCTCAGAAAGGCACTGAGAGCAATTGATCCACCATTCTATGCAAAAGTGTGGAAAGTCTCAACTCTCACTTCCTGACTACTGGGGGCCAACCAGCAAAGGTCATGAATTGGCCCATTTGTGCTAAGAGTTGCCATATCCCAGAACTCTCTTGTTCAATTAATTGAGTTTTCTGTCCATGGGCCTGCTGGCCTTGACAGTGTCTATAGGCTCAGCCTGTGGCTAAGCACCTGAGAGCTTACAGGAGGGCTAAGGTCAGACCATGAGCCGTGTAGTCAACTCCATACTTCCAATATAATATAGCTGTGGATTTTTTTGTCTGGTGGCCACATCTTTCTGGGTGTGAGACACTAGCAATAGGCACTAAAGTACTAAACATTTGGACTGACTGCAGTTTGCAACTCAGTACTCTAGCCAACATTTGGCTTTGGAGTGAGCAATATTGCACTGCATCATCATGAAATATTGGCAGACTGTACATTGTTTTTGAAGAGCCTGATGTCACAGGAAGTGTACAAAATGACACAAATTCTAAGAGCTTGAAGAAAATGAGAAAAGAAATTCAATGACCTTTTCACAGTGTGTTGAAGATGTGTACTTGTTTTGTGAAAACTTGAGAAAAAAAAAGGGCCTAGCCGGGATTTGAACCCGGGACCTCCTCCATGTGGAAGTCACGTGACTGTGAGACCACGGCCACCCTAAGAAGGAATCATACCCCTAGACCACCAGGCCGTCGGAACGTGTGGTTGACTGAGACATCTACACTCAAAATTGATCGTATCAAGTGCCACCAAGTCGTAGCCTTCCCACTTGGCCGTTCCGAGTTTTGCCGATCGCTTTCTCATATTTGGCTTTGTGCACGCAAGTGACGCAACGACTCGCTCGGATGAATTCCGGAGTCTGTGACCAAAGGAGAAGGCTGTTGCGAGACGAACGATGATGCCTGAGAAACTATTAATGTAGGTCACATGAGCCTTCAGCACGAGCAATATTGAATCAAGCTTCAAGTTCATCATCAGGGCTCTGAATGGCTACCGAGTCCATCGCCCTGGTTCCCTTTGAGATATCACGTGACCAATACAGAGTTTACTGGCATTGAAGTAGGACTTTGTGCTTGCAGTCAATAACTCGTGAGTCGAAATCCGAGGTTGGAGAATGCTCGGCATGCTTAGCCCCCTGTTTCCCACAAACAGCACGCTATTGGGACCACACCATGCGTACCACCATCTGTTAATGTTATGCCCCATGACACTTACGGATGCTACTCGGATATCGCGTGCTTCGAATTATTCCCCTTCGCCAGCAGATTCCGCCGTCCTGCGCTTCCGCGGACCGCACACCAGTTTGCGCGGCGACTGCGCCCTATCGTTCAGTTACATTCCTTATTTATTGCGAGCCAGTCCAAAAAGGGAGTCCGTTGTGGGCTGGATATCAAGGAGCTGGCAGGTATATAAACCACTGTGCTTGGTGAGGGCTTGACTCATTACTGGACGTTTTCATCAAGTATTCCGCAGAAATGAAGGCCATCGTCGCCGCTCTCGCTGCTGCCGCCATACCGCTTGCCGCGGCTCACTGTAAGCAGGGACTATTCTTGTTCGGCGTCTGCTCTGTTGATCATGACATTATTAGATACCTTTCCCGACTTCATCATCGGCAGCACCGCCTCGGCAGACTGGCAGTACATTCGCGAGACCGCCAACCACTACTCCAATGCTCCGGTTGGTGTTGGCTGCGTGCTCCGCAAAGTTATGCTGAATGAAGTGGCAGGTGACAAGTGTTACTGACCCCGAGTTCCGTTGCTACGAGCTCGACCTCCAGAACACTGCCGGTCAAACTTCCACCGCCACTGTCAGCGCTGGTTCTACGATCGGCTTTCAAGCTGTAGGCAAAATTGACTTGAACTTTGATCACTGCATCTGACCTTTTTCGTAGAACGGCCCGATTTACCACCCTGGAGTAAGCAATCTTTTGCTCGGCAAGGAGACACCGTTACACTAACACACATCGTCTAGTATCTCTCGGTCTATCTATCCCAAGCTTCACCGGCCGCCAACTCTCCGGAGGCTGGTACCGAACAGACCTGGTTCAAAGTCTACCAGCAGACACCTGTCTTCGATGCGGCCACCCACCAGCTCAACTTCCCTTCCGAAAGTATGCTTACCTCACCGCGACAACATGTCTACGATACTAACACCTATAACAGCCCAGCAGTCCTTCACTTTCACTCTCCCGGAGAGTCTTCCGAGCGGCCAGTATCTTGCACGGGTTGAGCAGGTGCACTTCACCTCTAAGCAGACGGTTGTGACCCTGTACTGAGCGTTACTGCTGCAGATCGCTCTGCACGTCGCTGAGACCTACGGCGGCGCCCAGTTCTACATCGGCTGCGCGCAGCTGAACGTCGAGAATGGCGGTAGCGGCAACCCGGGCCCGCTCGTCTCGATCCCCGGTGTCTACACTGGCGTACGTTCTTCATCTGTCCGACTTTGTTACTTGGCTGATGTACTTGTGGCAGTACGAGCCTGGCATCCTTCTCAATATTTACGACCTCCCCCAGAACTACACTGGCTACCAGGCTCGTGCGTACAGATCCTTGCCGACCTTAGACGTAAAGTTGACAATCATATTGCAGCTGGCCCCGCTGTCTGGCAAGGATAAAGTTTCTCGAAAAGACATATGCAGCGTTCGACGGTGCTTTCGTGTTCCGCACTACGATCTCGCATTTGTACTGCTAGTGCTTGGAAAACAATGTGCACATTCATATACTACCAATGTCAGCAAAATAGCAGCAACGACATTCCCGTCTCATGTCTGTAGCGCGAACGGCTTCCCTCGTTACGCTGATATCACGGCACCCAGGGTGGCCATCGTGCTCATATCTGGTGAGCGCCCAATGATGGCGCATCGGTGATGCGGTACAATCGCGCCGCGGCGAAGTTGAATTGTCAATGTTTGCCTTAGTTGTTCATGTCTACCTGACCTCAAACGCTCAATCTACTCTACGGGACAAGGACTGAGTACTGAATACTCGAAGCACCGTTGGTGTCCAATACCCCGCGAGATCGTCAAGTGCGGGGTAACCAGATTCCGAGGTAAGCTGTCATTTCTGTGAGAAGGGAGTTTTTCGGTAGGAGAAGCTGAAGTTTAGCCGCATTTGCAACGAGCTGACCAGTTTCCTTGTAGAATACGCTTTCTTTCTCCGAATCTGCGTCATTTGAGTCTGCTTGTTCTTCGGGTATGCGGATCAGTTCCAACGGCATGCGAGCCGTTGCTATATGTCCAAGGGATTCCTTTGGTGAGGACGCGTAGAGCACGGCATACATGCCCCTGAAGAATGGTGCTGCAATCAATGATGCTTCGCGGCATTCTGTGCTCGTTCTTGTCAATGCCAAGACCGTGCCAAGACAAGATCCTTTGTATGCGCGGGATCAACAGCACGTACTACTCGCACGCGCATTGAGGCATCTTGACAAGGACTTCCGGGTTGTCGCGGACAAATTGCCGGTTCACCAGTATAAGAGCTCGCCGGAAGATGTCAATGCTGCTCAGCATTCCGATTGTTTTTTCTAAAGCGACTCCTCGATATGAAAAGCTCTCTGGTTGCCCTGATTGGTGTATTCACACCGCTTGTTGCCGCACACTGTATGCAATTGTTCTGCTCGCGACACAGCGCTTTCTGACATTTTTTGCAGATACTTTCCCTGACTTCATTGCGAACGGGGTGACGTACGGCGTGCGCATTTTCTGTACGCATTATTATGAATATTCTCACTATCTGCTTCGTTGACTAGGATTGGGTCTACATCCGCGAGACTGCGAATCACTACTCGAATGCCCCTGTGCGAATACCTTGCTATTATCTATACTTAATTCGTTTGCTGATTTACCTTCAAGGTGACGAATGTCGAAGATCCCGAGTTCAGGTGCTACGAACTTGACCTGCAGAACACTGCTGGTCAGACCGGTACCCTGATAGTTCAAGCCGGAGAGACAGTCGGCTTCAAAGGTGCGTGGGATATCAGCACCTGGTACACTCGACAAGCTGATAGTTCCACTTTCAGCGGTGCGTCTCCTCACTATAGCCTAATGCGCCACCTGATGCATAGCTGTTCTCAAGTAGAATCAAGCCGTCTATCACCCGGGTGTATGTTCATTCGTTTGTAATTTATATCCATAGCTTATACGTTACTCTTAGTATCTAGATATTTACATGTCTCCGGCTGAGCCTGACGCCAACTCCACTCAAGCCGGCACTGGTCAGACGTGGTTCAAGGTCTACGAGATGCCTCCGGTTATGCAGAATGGGCAGCTGACCTTCCCATCTGAGAGTAAGTGACGATTCGGCGACCCGGTATTTTGTTCACAGCGCCTCTCTAGACCTCCAATCGTTTACCTTCACCATCCCGGAGTCCTTGCCCAGCGGTCAGTACCTAATCCGAGTCGAACACGTAAGTGTCTCGTCCTAACGAGACAGATGTCCTACTGACAGCCCTGCTCAGATTGCCCTGCACGCGGCGAGCACCTACCAGGGCGCACAATTCCACCTATCTTGTGCTCAGGTCAACGTCGTCAACGGTGGTGATGGCGCCCCAGGACCTCTCGTCTCTATCCCAGGAGTTTACACTGGTGTATGTCGTGCACAGGCTGTAGCTATCAGAGTATTACTGATGCTACCAGCAGCGCGAGCCTGGTATTCTGATCAATATCTACACCGTCCCGGCCAACTTCCAGTACCAGTCTCGTAAGTATAACACTTTGGCTGTGGTTCATTGGGCTGACATGACTTTCAGCGGGTCCTGCCGTCTGGCACGGATGAGCTCTTCGTCGAAAGCATGATCTGCGAGCATTATCTTGTATCATGTCCCAGCACCGGCTATAGTGACTCTGAGGGTTCGAACAATCACGTGAAGATGATGTGTCTCTGAATGGGAACAGAGAATTTTACGTCCAGTTCGTTGATGCTGACTGAGCATGAGCAATACAAAGAAACATAGCATCGCTGCTAGGCTATCAGAACGTGACTGGGGCTTCATTGTGAACGCACTGTTCAACCAAATACCAGCAGTCATGAGAAGAGGCTCGCAGTCCAGGGATCGAACCTGATAGCCTACAGAAAAACCCGCTGTATCCGGACAAGCATGAGATTAAGATGATAGAAAGCACAAAGGAGTGGGAGGGGTGCGGGGGTGCTGTCTGCAGACTGAATCCCATGCTCAACCCCACAGAGTAACAGACGAGCAACTTTGTTCTCCAGGGATCAAACCTAGACACGCCGCGGCATACGACACCGCTCTTCATCAGCACGTCTTCAGCTTTGCGTGCATTCGCTTCGATGAGCCGTCAGCGCAGGTAGCCAGTTTGGGATCATGTTCGGTGCAAAGTGGCACCATTTTTGCCGGGGAGAATGCGGGTATATGCTATCATCTGCTTCTATCGCGTCCTATGCACGTTGAGAAACCTAGCAGCCAATCGTTGCACGCTCCCACGGTTCATTTTCGGATGAAGACTCACTTCTCGCTTCTCCGACGATCCATCGACTCTATAATGCAAACTGGTACCTTGCACCACGAGACTTACTTATTCTGTCGTGACGCTGGGATGTTTCGCGTGCCGAAAGCGAGGCAAAGGCAGGAATAGCTGCTCTGCCGATGCTGGTGGAGTGCTTATTTTTGGAGTACGCTGGACGTTAGTATGTTCGGAAATTTCAACATGACCGTACCAACGTGTATTGATGTGTTGTAGGCCGGCCGCAAGTTGGGAAATGGGACGCAGCCGACCGCAGGTATATAAGACGAAGGAGGCATGCAGTTTATCCTCACCGCTGAGGTCTAGCAAGAGTTCCCATCCGTACTGCACAGTTTCAACGATGAAGGCCTTCTTCGCTGTTCTCGCTGTCGTGGCTGCACCTTTCGTTGCGGGTCACTGTAAGCACTCTTCTCTTCTTCGAAGAAACAAGCGCTTACGACTATCGCAGACACGTTCCCAGACTTCATTAACGACGGTACCGCTCGCCGGCAGCTCTTGGAACCTCAGCATAGCTGACAATGCTCCTACAGGAGAGACGTCCGCCGACTGGGTCGACATCCGTGAGACCGCGAACCACTACAGCAACGCCCCGGTGAGTGGTTGCGTCCTGGCGACGATTCTTGAAGTCTGACGCAGTGTAAAGGTCACCGATGTTACCAGCACCGCGCTTCGTTGCTATGAGCTCGACATGCAGAACACCCCCGGAGAAACACAGACCGCTACTGTCCAGGCCGGCTCTACTGTTGGATTCGTGGGTGAGTATCCTAACATTCCGCTGTGATTGTGTTTCAGACGGCTGACAGAACATTTACAGCCGTAAGTCTGGGTTACTACCTGCCAGAATAACATGCATGCTCACCTTCAATCCAGAACCCCAATATCTACCATCCAGGCGTAAGTTCATCAACATGTCTGCCCTACACACAGGCTAACTATGCTGTGCAACAGTACCTCGACATCATGATGTCGCCCGCTTCCCCCGCAGCCAACTCACCCGACGCTGGTACTGGCCAGACCTGGTTTAAAATCTACGAAGAGGTGCCCCAGTACACGAACGGCCAGCTCGTCTTCCCTGCCAGTCAGTTATATGCCTTCCTCGTGAAGCGGAGTTCGAACTCACCGGTCTTGCAAACACAGCTCAGCAGCAAGTCACCTTCACCATCCCCTCGGAGGTCCCCAGCGGCCAGTACCTTCTCCGTGTCGAGCAGGTTTGCGATCTGGCTCTTATACCTGGTGCCATCGAAGCTGACTGGCCCTACTTCGTCAGATTGCTCTCCACGTCGCCGAGACCTACGGCGGCGCGCAGTTCTATATTGGCTGTGCCCAGATCAACGTCGAGAATGGCGGTAGCGGCACTCCCGGACCGCTCGTGTCGATTCCGGGTGTCTACACTGGCGTACGTGCACGCCCCTCATGACGCCAGGTTAAGCAATACTGACAAGTCGAATAACACAGTACGAGCCCGGTATCCTCATCAACATCTACGACCTTCCATCCAACTTCACCGGCTACCAGACCCGTAAGTAATACGCTTTTAAACGGGGCGGTGAACGACTCACCTTTCTTTTCAGCCGGTCCTGCTGTCTGGCAGGGATGAGTGGATACCAGCAGCCGGCGATGCAGATCCAGTTTGCAAAATATGGTATCATTCCTCTGCGAGTAGTTGTAAATTAAGCGACTTTCGGTCGCCGATAGCAATGTGATATTCTGTAACGAAGTTCAGGAAGAGGAAAGCTGACAATCTTCTAAGACGGGACGAACTCCGCGCGGGAGACGATCCTGGACCAAGATAGAGGAAAGAAAGAAAAAAGCCATCATATGAGGATGACAGCAAGTAGTAACGCCATAAGGATTATTATGAGAATAATTATACACCAACCCGATTTCGTCTCTGCCGTATGTTAGCTCATAAGATACGTCATGTCAAGCATAGACATTCACCTTCTGTCTGCCGAATAAACTTCTTCATTCGCCGCATGGCACCGCTCAATTTGGAATCCGTTTGGTCGACACCATGTTCGAGATCGTCGAGCATCCTGTTCCAGACATGTAAGCTAAGCGCAGGGAGTCAATGCACACTCACTCGTTGTGTTCCACAATCTCCTGGCCCATAAGCCCAGCCTGTTCTTGTAGGGTATGTAGAGTTGTGCCAATGGACTCGATCGTGCGGTCCTGCTCGTGGATCATCATCTACAGCAACCAGGAATGCATCAGCTTCCAGGGGTGGATTATACACGGACCTCCAAACGCACCTGTTGCTCCTGTCGAGCCCATTCTGACTGGTCGTCTTCGGGTGCAGTTCCGTTCGCCGGTGACTCCAGAGACGCCGCTCGGTGCACGTCCGAGCGCGACAGTGGCCGTGACCGTGCTCCGAATTCAGGATCTACCTCGGCGCGCATGTTCTAACCTTGCAGGTCCGTTGAGTCAGATTTCTGGAAGTGAGATACCAGGGCATGGCATCCACGTACGTCAATCTCCTTCCGGACAAAGCCCACGTATCGTCTCCGTTCCATGACCTCGGACTCTTCGAGACCAAACATCCGCGCACCGGTACTCTCGACAATCCTTAGAGGGAACCCAGTCAGCCCGCACAATGCAGCGAAGAAGCAAAAAACCAACGCGCGCAAACTAATTCCGACACTCACTTGACACTTTCCTCGAGGTCTTCGAGATCTGCTTCGAGCGCAGCTAGTGTCGCTTTGAGCTTCGAGCGCGCCTGAGCTTTCCCCTTCTCACAGAACCAGTATATTGAAACTCACCTCATTTCGTGCCCACACCAGCTCTTCACTCTCGTCTCTCGCCGTGCTCCGGATGCGCAGATACGACGCGCGGAGGGTCGAGGCCGTGTGCAAGGAGTTCTGCACCTCCTGCTGCACGGCATGATATGGGTCTGTGGACATCTTGAGCGCGGTTAATTTGCACACGGTCCAATCTTGCTACGGTATGGTTCTATTGTAGCATCAAAATATCGTGGCTTGTGTTGCGAGGGAAGTGGTGGTGGCGAAAGTCAGGTCCAGGCTGCGCGGAGTATCGGTGGGCGTGTCCGACGTGTCGCTGCGCTTTGATCTAGGCGCCCTTCCCTTTAGCCGCAAGGCGTCTATCTCACCTTATCTTGCCTGTGCGATCATACTCACACAGACGCACACAACTCGGTCCAAGTACGAAGGCACCCCCACCACGCCTCTCACCAACATTGTAAACATAGCGAGCGGGCGGCCAGTGCAGAGTGGCATGTACACAGTCGCATGGAGATACAAACCAAAAATATAGATCCGTAGCTGCCGACTGCTGGGCATGCGAACAGTTTTCATACGACCCAGGGGCAATACACTACAGTAAAGAGTATAGGACAAGTCAACTCACTTCGTAGACGCGCAGATATACAATATACACGGAGAAGAAACAGCAGCTGAAGGAAGGCCATCTCCAAACCAGATCGCAGCAAATTAGCACTGTACAGTCAAGAGTCGAGACAGAGATGGAAAAAGCGGAAGAAAAGTAAACAGGACTCAAGCAAAGCGAGAGGTCGCCAGATACCTAGGCCGCAGCAGCCGCAGCAGGCTGGCCGCGCTCGAGATCAGGCTGGGGCTGCCGGGTCGTCAGCGTCCTGAGGAAGCCAGGGCGGCTGAGCGAGGACAGGACGCCGCCGCGTGGAGTGGGAGAGGCCGGTTGGCTGGGCGACGAGGGGGTGAGCGGATGGTCGGCAATATCAGCAGTCTCCTGCTGGTCCTTATCAGAGGCCGTGTCCTTTGTCGGCGGGGTCGTCGTGATCCGGAGGCAGGATGTGTATGCTGCGGAGATAACAATGAATAGAATATTCTTGGGACATGCGACGGGAAACTTACGCTGCCTGCACACGGGGCAGAACCAGCCCTTGGCCTTGCGCTTACGGCGCGCGTTGGTGGTCGGTACGACAGTCGGAATCGGCGTAGGCAGCGGCGAAGCTCCGTCAGCCGGCTGCTGCTCGCCCGCGCTACCGCCGGTATTCTCCTCGTTGGCCTCCGCGTTCTCGCCCTCCGCGCCGGCCGCAGGGGTGGCATCGTTTTGGACGATCTGCCCGCCCGCGCCGAACTCGATCATGTTGATTGCGCAGTCGCGGCAGGCGACGAGGTGGCGGCAGGGAAGCAGGACGACCTCGCGCGGGGCGGACAGACAGAGCAAGCACTCGGAAGACGGTTCGTCCTCTTGCGGCACAACGGGCGTGCTCGTGGGTGGGTAGGTCGTGGGGACCGCTGCCTGCGGGGCAGTGGGATTGGTTGTCGAACTTGACAGACCGTAGATCTCGTGCAGGTGGAAGGTGTGCGTGCCAATCTGCCATACCACGTCAGGAGTAGCTAATGACTGAGTACAATGCACTCACCGTGGCTTCCCGTTTGACGACCTTGACAACCCATGGGCGCTTGTCATCTTCCTCCGCGGGCGGCGGAGCGCCGAAACGGACAATGTGGAGGTAGGTCGTTTGTTCGTTAATGCAGGAGAGGGGCTTGCCGCCTTCATCAAGCGCAGAAAGGCGAATCATCGCCTTCACGCCCAGGTTTGACTCATCCCTTTCGTCGGGTGTGGTCTCCTTGGCCTCGACATCAACAACCGCCAAAGCTGGACCAACGACTGTGCGTGATTCATGCGTACGCTTGCGGAAGTGGAAAGAAGTGAACCGCTTGGTCTTGCGAGCGCCCGAAGCCTCTGCACCATCCTCGGGGGACAACGTCGGGATCTCGGGGCTCGGGCCGGCCGCACTGCCTGCGGAAGGCGAGCCCATCTTCTTCTCGTCTAGGTCTGGCGATGAAGTAGTAGAGGAAGTCTTGACGTGCGGCTGGTGCTCGTAGCGGCCGAGCTCGAGCGTCGCGCCTTCTTCGAGCTTAAGAGTCTTGCCAAAACCGCCGTCGGTCATGGTCTCAAACACAAGAATCCTGGAGTGCGCATTTCCAGCGGCTCGGTCCGCGAGGTGGTGCAAAGGCGAAACGAGGACGTGGACGGAGATACCACACTTTGGGGCGTCGCAGTCGTACTCAAACTCCAGGCCATGGTAATGCTGTGAGTCGTCATGTTCGATGTCGTCGGATGAGTCGGTCTCGAGCGGGGTCAGGCGGAGTGACGGCCGCTTCAGGTTAACAAGAGCCTGGAGCGTCGTCGTTGCTTCATTCGCCTGCAAATTGTTCACGATCAGTTAATGTCCTTTCGTTACCCCCTCTAGCTGCATAATCCGTGTGTGCAGCATCCTCAGCATGATTTGGAGGGCATGTGTGGGTGGTCGAGTGATTGCTTGGCAAGCGATGCTCATGCATATATGCAGGTGTACAGCCCTCGGTCATCCGCACACGGACACGGCGGGTGCTCAGATATGTGAAGCGGATACTCACCTCCTTGCTCTTTGCGATCCATCCCCTTACAATCTCGGGAGTGAGTTCATCGACAGTCTTCTCACGAGTCTCCGTCCATTCCGGACCCTTGGCGACGATGCCAATGTTTGGGCCAAAGAGCGTATCCTGCTTCCTTTTGGTCGAGTCACCCATGTTGATGACAGCATCTTGAGGTTGGGCCATGGTGGTCGTCGTTGAAGAAGCGGTGGGTTCTGAGCGGGGGAAATTGGTGCCTCCCTGTGTTCTGCGGGTCCGGTCCCAAATAACTTCGGCGTAGAGGGGGTCAGCGCCGTGATGGTACGAGCACAAGCTGGAAGTACTTACACCAGGTGGCGAGACTGGACATAGAAAGCGTCGCAGACGCAAGATTTAAGACAGGCGCAGCTGAATGTGTGTGAGGTTCGGTGGGGGGCAGGAGGAAACCTTTAGGTTCGGGCTCTCACTCTGACACTCTGGCGCGCAGCCCGGCCGGCAAGCCGACGCTGGCGTTCTCCCGCCACCGCAATTGTTTCGTCTCTCCCTCCACCTGCCTCAAACAATTCGTTCTGACAACCGTCACCGCCGAACATGTCAGCTTCAGAACGATATCTGTTCTGGATGAACTCTGCCTTTTGTCGCGCGTAGGCCTTGCTCTTGTGAACGGTCAGCCATGATATCCGCCCGGGATGCTATGCGCAGCATTCCGTGATTGCAAACGGAGAACAACTCTCTCACAGGAACACGGGCACATCTCGTCTCACAACTGCGCTGCGGATACCCACCACCCACGCCATGCTCACGACTGTCACCTGCCACCGAGTACTGCTGATGCATACGACACGAGTATTTCAAGCAGCCTCTGCTATGGAGGTGGCGTGGAGTTGTCCTTCCCATCATATGGCTAAACATGGTTCTGAGGGTAAATGCATGATTTGGTGCAGAAAAGAGGCTGTTCTGGCCGTAGGTAGTTGTCAGAGAATCTGCTTCTTCGGGTACGTCACATTATCTGCTTCTCCGCGGACTGATTATTCTGAAACCCCACGCATATGCACTCCGTACACCATGTCGTTCGCCCGATACTCTGCTTCGGCACATCGCATCAAAGTCTCACAGTACCAGACGATCTCCAAGCGTGGCTCATGCAAAAATCAACTTGCACTTCGTAGCGGAAGAGAGAACGCGAGCTCTACATCCCAATCGCTTGGTCTGGGCGACAATTGGGCGATACGTATGAGAAAACCAAGTCTCCTCCGATGTCCTGCGTGTGGTCAGTCGTGTACGGCTGCGTAAGCTGCACTGGTCCCCCGGATTGCGCAAGCCGGTAAGGCTAATGTCGTGTCGCATGTACGACGGCATAGATTACATAGGAAGGCCTCGTCGTCGTATGCATGTGCGGATGTGCGGGTCATGGATGTTAAATGAAAAGAATGAATAGCAAGGAAAGCGGAGCATTACTACGCGATGAGCTTAACGACGCCGCCAGCCTCCTTTATCTTATGCCTGCAGATTGCGATAAGTAATTGCTTTCTGTGTAAAGTCTACTTAATACGCACTCGGCCTTCTTGGAGACGAAGCGGGCTTTTACGATGAATGGGAGCTTGGGCAGCCTGAAAATATACCATTCACGAAACGAACGTTTGTACCAAATTGAATAAACGCACTGTCCATTGCCCAAGATCTTCGTGTAACCGTGGCGGAGGATGTCAATAACTGGCACAACCTCAGAATCCTCCTTCAAGTCAGCCTTCTCCTCTGCGGGAACAAGCGTCCAGAGCTTGTCGACGTTGATGATGTTGCGCCAGTACAGGTTGCGGGCCAGGTGGTAGTGGCGCATACCGACCTTACCGAAGTAACCAGGGTGGTACTTATCGAAGTTTGTCCTTTAACCGCGCATAGTAGAGTACAGACGTGAATCCAGGTTGCCTGCAGCGAGATCACAGCGAAAACGCACCTGTGGTGGTGCTGACCACCAGCGAGACCACGACCTCCAGGGTGTTTGCGGTGCTTGCCGACACGGCCGTGACCGGCCGAGACGTGGCCGCGGTGCTTGCGAGTCTTGGAGAACCGGGACGGCATTTTCTGCAGGAGACAAAAGAAGAAATATGAGCATTCAGAGCGCAAGAGCGTGAAAGCGTCATCCGAAGTCCGTCTGGGCCATCCAGCATCGCAGCTTCAGGATCCGGGAAAACAGGCATTCGTTTTGGAGCCAAGAGTGCGCAGAATGCGCTGGACGGCGTGCTGACGTGCAGAAATCCGACACACTGACCTTGAGGAGGCTTGAGGAGGCTTGCGGTCGCTGTCTTCGAGCCCCCCAGCCCAATGCGCTCAAGCGCCTTGTCGCGCGCT